CTCATGTAATAAAAAGTGCTACACATTATCATTGAAGAGTAATGTTAGTGAAATGTAAAAAGCTAATTAAGAAGACAGTTATGAGTGTTGTTCAAGAGAGTATAAGAGTTCTATAGCAAGTGGTCACCTCTTGGGAGACTGACTAAAATGCTATGCCGTATAATATTGCACTAATACCTCATTTATTGAGAAGAACATGTGGTTATGAGGTTAGTTGGAAATCAGTTAAAAGGGTTTGACTCCTTTATTTTGAATTGACATAAGTGGGTTCTTTAAATGTGTAATCTGAAGACAATCAGGATTGTGGCTGTAATAAAAGTGAAATTCATGGTTTTTGACCCTGTTAGAATATAAGTCTACTTGAATTTTAAAAGGAGAGTAGAAATAAAATGGTTTTCAACATGTGATTTCATTTTAGTACCTTGTTTTAAAATATGTCTCTGTGAGTTGAATTATTTGTAACCAAACTAAAAAGACCACTACCAAATAGCTCTCTAGAGGGCACTATTATCTAATGCCAGAGTTAAAAAGTGTTTCCTGTGTAAAACTAAAGAAATATTAGCTCGGCAACACAGCTAAGATCGCACTAAAGGTTTATCCTTTTATTTTGCAAATAAGGCAACTGAAAGTCAGAGAGCAAACGACTTGCCCATTATCAAATACTAGTATCCTGACAAAGCAGGATAGAACCCAGCCTCCTAACACTACAGCACGATTCTTCATGAAATCGAACACCATGAGGTAGTAACAAGAGTTATTAATTTTAGACGGTGAGGCAGTTACCTGTGGAAGTTGTTGGAAAAAATATTTCCTGTAAAGGTGCTCCCTACTAAAAAGTGTGATAGAGTTAATTAGGATGTGATTCTTTTCATTAGTTAAATGAGAGGTTGGTCAGGGGTTGATGTGGTAGAAAAACAAGCTTACCCTAGGAGTGAGAAGATAATTGAGGTGCTATTAGCAGCTCTTAGGTAAGTGGCGATAACAGCATTTACTTGAGCTGACAAGTTGATATGTGTATGGTGTTTGTGATATCGACAATTAGGCCTCTGACTGTAATGAGGAAGGCCGCTTCTCAAGGCTTTCGAGATGAGTGATGTTTCAACTGAATAGACAGCCTGTCTTTTGGGTATCTTGTTCTTTGGCTAGATTGTGGATCTGGGTCTGGAGCATGTAAATTATACAGCTTTGAAGAAAGCATGTGTGCAGATATGAAGAAAGGCTGTGACATTGATTAATACCAACTAAGACCTGGTTGGCTGCACATGGAGAAAGCAGGCATTTAAAAAATATATATCTTTTAAAGGCAATATTAGAGAGGAAATATATATCCTTTTGGGTTCAAACACAGATTGCTATAAGTACCATGTAGTGGTAGCACGTAAGTAGTGTTTGGATGGTTTTCTTGTTTTCTATTAATAGAAGAGAAATAGCTGCTCAACTCTTATCCTTGAGAGGCAGAACAGCTGGGGTGTTAGGTCTTCTATCTGAAAGAAATTCATGGATGGAGACCAAATCGAGCTGACTTACCAACTGGTGCTTTAAATATTTTTTAAAATAATATAATAGTTTATTTGTGAGTTTTCCCATCTCAGTTGTAATCCCTGTGGGTTTCCCATCACCATATCACCCGTGTGCCATAATCATAGTCCAGTGCAGTCCAGTGCACTTCTCCTTCTGCCCCCTCAATTTTTTTTTTAAAGATTTATTTATTTATTCATA